GATGGGAGACTCGATCCCAGGATCCGGGATCACACCCTGAGCCAAAGGCAGACAATCAACCACTGAGCCACCCCAGGCATCCCATGTTTTCTTCAATTTTCTTCAAGGAGTTTATGTAGAATTGGTATTATATGTCTCTTATGTACTTGGGGGACTAAATTAGTAAAGCCATATGGGTCTGGAGTTTTCTTAGAGGGAAAATTCTTAACTACAAATTCAATTTCTTTAATAGAAATAGATCTATTCAGGGGTGCCTGGGTTGCTAGGTCAGTTAGGCATCTGACTTCCGCTCAGGTATTGATCTTGTGGTCTTGGGATGGAGCCTTGGGTTTGACTATGTGCTCTCTTACTCTCTCAAATAAATAAAAATCTTTAAAAGAAAAATAGAGCTATTCACTTTATCTGTTTCTTCTTAAGTTTTGGTAGCTTGGAATTTGTTCAGTTTTTCTGAGTTGATGAACTTATATAAAGTTGTTTATGATACTCTTCTATTACTCTTTTTAATGTAGGTGACCTTTGTAGTGATGCCAACATTTTCATTTCTGATATTGGAATTTGTATCTTTTCAATTTTTCCCCCCAGTCTGGCTGTAGGTTTATAAATTTAATTGTTTTTTTTTCAAAGGAACTAGGTTTTGTTTTCATTGATTCCCCCCCCCCATTCTTTTTCTATTTTGATTTCTACTTTGGTCTTTGGTACTAATTTTTTCCACTTTGGGTTTAATTTAGTCTTTGTTTAGTTTCTTAAGGTGAAAACTGAAGTAACTTTTTTTTTAGAACTTTCTTTTTTCTAACATAGGCATTTAATGCCATAATTTGCCCCCCAAACTACTGTTGTAATGTCATGCCATTCTACAAATTTTTTATTATGTTGGGTTTTTTCTTCTGACTGAAGGCCTTCCTATAACTCTTGTAGTGCAGGTCTGCTCATGATGAATTCATTCATCTTTGTGTGTGTGTGTGTGTGTGTGTGTCTGAAAATGCATTTCCCCCTTTATTTTTGAAGGGTGTTTCTACTAGACATAACAAATATAGGTTCTCAGGGTTTTTAAAATTTGTTTTGTGTTTTATTTTTTTCTCAAAATGTGTTTAGGATTTGTTGTGTGTGTTACATGTGCAACGTTATAGTTCTTATTACGTTTCAAGATGTGATTAAAATATTTTTTAATTTTCTCTACCTTCTTTTATGGACTCCATTTATACTTATATTAGGGCATTTGAAATTGACCTGTAGCTCACTCATGCTCCATTTATTTTTTTATAACGAATACTATATTTATTTTGGATATTTCTTCTTGCTGTGTCTTCAAATTCACAATTTTCTTCTATAATGTGTAATCTTCCATTAATTCCATTCAGTCTATTTTTCATCTTAGATATCATTTTTATGTCTGGAAGTTTGCTCTGCGTCTTTATCTTCTTTATTTCTACATAACCTTTTGCAGGAATATGATTATAATAACTGTTTTAATGTCTTTGTTTCTGAGACATGTCAGTTCCAAGTTGATTTTGACTGAGTTTTTTCTCTTACAAGTTATGTTTTTCTACTTACTTACATGCCTCATAATTTTTTATTGGATGCCATACATTGTGAATTTTACTTTGGGTACTGGAAATTTTTTTGCTTTTCTGTAAATATTCTTGAGCTTTGTTTTAGGATTCAATTTAGTTATGTGGAAACAGTTTGATTCTTTTAGGTCTTGCTGTTAAGATTTGTTAAATGTGACTACCTCAGTACCCAGTCTAGGTCTAATTTCCATTTCAAAGCTAAGACCCTCTAGATTCTTCCACTACTCTATGAATGAGGTTTTCTGGCCTGCCTAAGGGAAATAGGCCCTTTATGAGTCCTGGTGACTGTATTTTCTAATCCTTTAAATTGGTTCTTTACCCAGCATTAGGTGTTTGCTGATTGGTACTCAGCTCAGTATTCCACAAAGACTGCAGATCTCTGAGGATTTCTCTTTGTTCTGCTCTCCCCTCTCTAGTACTCTTTCTTAAGAACTCTAGCCACCTATTGTTCCCAAGCTCTTGAGTTCCGTATCCTTACCTGAGTCTACTAGGTTCTCTGCTTGTGTTTCACCTCCCTGTTTACTCTGGAAACTCTCTTAAGATAGTAATTTGGAGCAATTGTTGGATTTATCTCATTTGTTTTTCATCTTTTAGGGTTCACTCTCTTTCTTACTGTGTCTTGCAAACCGCTGTTTTATGTATTTTGCCGTGTTTGTTTGTTTGTTTGTTTCCAGATAGGAAAGAAAATTCAGTCCTTGTTACTCTTTCTTGACTAGAAATAGATGTTGGGGCTGATGTAATCGTCATCTCCTTACCTGTCATCAGTTCATGGATACCCAACTCTTTTAAATGAAGCAGACTTACCTCCACTGAACTTGCTTGTCCTCATTTTCTTTTACACATATTATTTTTGCCCTTAGATTACTTTTCTGATCTAAAATTATTTAATTAAATAAAGTAGGACGTAATTAGTCTTCCATGACATCTGATTTTGAAGGTCTGTTTCAACGTGTATTCCATTTGGGAATGAAAAGAAAGAATGGAAGAATGCATTTATTTAAAATCTAAACAGTTTAGAACTGAAGCTAATATTTTAGCAGAATGAATGCTTGGAAGTATTTAATGTTTCAGTTATAAAATGTCCAGTGGAAACATTATTTCAATTAATCAGTCTCCTTGGTCCTTACTCAAACCGAACATTTGTCTTGCATATGTCTTAGTTGTAGTTGTGTTTATACCTTGTCCATTAGATTAACAGACTCATATTTAAGCTCATTTAAAACTTTAGAGCTAGAATAATTGGAGGAGTTATGTTTTTCAATATATAATGTAATCCTTTTTCTATTGGTGTAGATTGCCTTCTTTTTCCTACTTTTAGGACACAAACCAGAAATTCTGTTGTTTCTTCTCTGATGATTTTAACATAAATGGAGTAGGATCTTTTCTATTTGAAGAAAAAAATTGTGTTCCAAGGATGTAATCCTGTTCAGATCTTTTTCATTAGAAAGAAGGTGGGAGTAAATTTTTTTTTCTCTGTAGGTTCACGAAAGACAAATAGGTGATAAAGGTTAATAGATTGCCTTTATTTCTCTGGAAGTAACTCATAGGGTAAATACAAAGTTAGCCTTGCCTTTATATCTCTGGAAGTAACTCAGGGTAAATACAAAGTTAGCCTTATCTTTTACCTTTGTAGTCCCGTTATAATGAGGGGATGACTGATTTTCATAATGAAAGGAAACATTAGAATAACAAAGAATTGTAGATAATAAGCCAAAAGAGGAATTGACCCAGAAGCACTATGGAATTTAAAATTGAATCAAGAAGATTTAATTTTTAACTAGTGTGGGTTTCAGTGATGGAGGGGGCACTGGAATGAATCAGGAGTCTTTACCTACAGTGTTATTAGCATATCCACTAAATACTGTGTGACTCTGAGCAGTCTTCTAATTGAACTTTAATATGTTCATCTGTCATAACTAAATAAACTAGGATTTAGTGGGTGATTCTGTACTGCTGGGTACTTTGTCGATTAGCATACATCTTGGTTTAATCCTCATATTAACCTTACAAAGTAAATGGAACCTTTATTTTACAGATGAGGTAAAACTAAGGTTCCAAAATGTTAAGTAATATTCAACTTGTTGAACAATTAAGTACTAAAGTACAATATGTATTTCTGTATTTTTCTAAAGCCTTGAGGTTTCTTCTGTTTCTACTTATAAAAAACACTTCAGTATTTTTAAACCATGCACCATGGTATATGCTAAGATGGTAAATTTCCAAATGTATTAGGTCTGGCACTCTCATTTTTGTTCCTGTCAGTTTTCCTACCTGCAATGTATTTTGATTATTAAAACCTTATCTGTTTGGCAGCACTTGGTTCATCATTGATTAATTCGAGAGTCTACAGTGATGTCGTCTTCTCTGAGATCTTTTTTTTTTTAATTTATGATAGTCACAGAGAGAGAGAGAGAGGCAGAGACAACAAGCAGGGGGAGAAGCAGGCTCCATGCACCAGGAGCCCGATATGGGATTCGATCCCTGGTCTCCAGGATCGCGCCCTGGGCCAAAGGCAGGCGCCAAATGGCTGCACCACCCAGGGATCCCTACTCTGAGATCTTAAAGCATTTATTATCTATGGCTCATTTATTATTAGTTATGTATTTGAGACCTATTTAGCCATTTTATATTTGAAATTTAGGATAACTTGAATTGTTTGTTTCTACATATTCATGCATTTACTAATGCACATGTATTACTGATACTGATGCATAGAAATTCCTTGAGGGAGCTTCTCTATTGCATTGTACATATAGTACATATATATATGACTTTATAAACAATTGTGTCTTAATTCTGTCAACTAGACTAGTTAATCATCATTCTCAGTTATTCACTTCTCCTGAGCAAATTTATATAAGAGGTTTTAAAATTTTAAATTCTGTAACTTTACACAGCACGATTAGTTAAGCTTTTTAGAGAAATACTTTTCAAAAAATATTTTTTTTCAAAAAATTTGAAAGGAGTTCAGTCAAAATGAGTTGATTAAAGTAAACATGAAGACTTATTTTATTTGGCAAGTAGACCAGTTACTTTGCCTCATAGCTCATTTTTTAAAAGTTCTGGAAGCTCATGTTCTTTCTCTCTGCCGCCCTCCCTGTACCCCTATCAAAGAGAGCAAAATATTTGAAAAATATTTAGGAGATCTGAGTGGTCTCTACTACTACTACTGCTATACTACTACTAATGCAAAAGTTAATTAACATTTCTGGGCTTTAGTTTTCTCGTTCTTAAAGAGTTAGATTAGGTGATCTTTAAAGATACTGTGTTCTAGCATTTGTAAAACCTACACGTTTAACGTAATTACTCAGAATTGTAAAGTAGCATTTGATTCTTAAATTTCAAAATAGGTAATTATGTTTTTCTTTAAAAGCTTTTGTGATCTCATGTTCTACTTTTATGGTTAATTTTCTCTTCTGACTTACCAGCACCCCCTCACTTGTTGCTAAAGGAATTGTTGACCACACCAAAATGAGTCTTCATGGTGCTAGCGGGGGACATGAACAATCAAGAGACAGACGAAGGTCAAGTGACAGATCACGAGATTCATCGCATGAAAGAACAGAATCTCAGCTCACTCCTTGTATTAGAAATGTTACTTCTCCAACACGACAGCACCACGTTGGTATGTAAAATCAGCTAATCTTCCTGACAGTTTTTAAAAGTATGCAATTACCTTTTGAAAACAGTAATGACTGTGAATTTTGCCTAGTACTTCAGAATAGAATTAACTTCTTACTTCTATTCAGTTTCTTCTATTTTAGCTTAGCTTCATTCTTGCTATAAAAAATTAACTTATTAAATGAAAGTTAGAGAATTTTTTAAGGTTCTAGGACAGTTTCATAAAAGAATTTGAGAAGCCTTTAAAACTGTGACACGAGATTTTAAAAATCTTTTTATTTTTTATTTTGTAATTTCTCAAAATATTTATTTGAGAGAGAGAACATTGAGTGGCAGAGAGAGAGGGAGAGGAAGAAGCAGGCTCCCCACTGAGCAGGGTTCCCAGTGTGGGGCTCCATCCTGGGACTCTGGGATCTTGACCTGAGCAGAAGGCAGACACTTCACCAGCTGAGCCACTCAGTAGCCCCTAAATCTTTCAAAATGATTTTTATCTTATGTGATACATAAGCAGTTTATTTTTTAAAATTTGTAGTATACTATTGATCGGAATTCTTGGTTAATTGTGCTAGAAAAGGAAGTGAAAGCTAGCATAACCATGTAATTTATTTTGAGTTTTGACAATATTTTTAATTTAAGAAATAGAAGATAAAAAGGAAGGTGTGAGGTGTTGTTTTCTTGGCAAGTAGCTCAGGTCTTTTTCTTCCTTCCCACTGATTTATTATAAATGAACATTATTATATTTCAAGTAAGTAAATTGTTTGACTGAAAAGTACCAGTCTGAAGCAGTGGTACATAAGCAATGTGACCTTGTTCAATTTCATTTGCTCTTGGAGAAGGGGCAAATTTAATATTTTATTTGAAGTTGTTTTTGATTGTTATACATCAAAATAATTCATCTTAGGGCTTAATTATACAGAGAAGTTGTCAGTTTTTTAAGTCCTCAACGTCAAACTAGTACTGATTAGCCAAAAATCCATGTGAATACAAATAGGAATTGACAGTTTGTTATATGCTAAGTTCAGTCCCTGGGAAGAGAATAGGAAGATATAATAAATGATTTTATTAATTCAGCAGATTTTGCTTTTGGGATGCTACCAGCATTCTGGAAACAGGCAATAAAATGGAGGTGTCAGAATATCTCTGGAGATATAGCAAACCTAATTATATAATCAGTAAAGCTGTACAGAGTGTTCTGAGTAGCCTGAGTCATGGAGGAATTTGGCAGAAGCTGATGAATCTGATGAGAGGAGGTACATTTTTAGGTCACATTTAAAGTGTAGCTACCTAGCCTCTAAAGGGAACTTATCACAGAATCTTAGTTTTAATTCTCCCTTTGTAGAATATTGGAACAGCCAAAAAAAATCTTCTGAATTTTAACAATATTTCCTACCTAATTAAAATTATATATAGTAATTATATGATCCTCTAGAATTTGTGACAGTGCTTTTATTCCAACAAAAGTGAGATTGAAAAGAAAGCAGTATATCATCAGCTGTTGAAGCCGTTTTATTTGGTAGACATTAAAAATCATTTGGGGGCACCTGGGTGGCTCAGTCAGTTAAGTGTTGGCCTTCAGCTCAGGTCCTGATCTCAGGGTCCTGGGATCAAGCCCCACATCCAGTCTCTGCTCATCAAGAAGCCTGCTTCTCCCTCTCCCTCTCCCTTTCCTCCTGCCACTCATGCTCTCTCTCTCTCCTCTCTCCTCTCTTTTCTCTCCCTCTCTCAAATAAATAAACCTGCTTCTCCCTCTCCCTCATCCTGCATCTGCCTCTCCCTTTGCTGCTCCCCTTGCTTGTACTCTCTCTCTCTCTTGCTCTCTCTCTCAAAATAAGTAAATAAAATGTCATTTCAAAGAATAAATATTCCTTGTGTCCTTAGTGACCATTTTTTCTTCCTTTGGGATCTTGCTTTTGTGAGATAAATTACTAGTTTAGGGATGGCCTCATTAACATAGTGAGAGTCCAAAGTATGTACTTTTGTGTTCTCAGGGTATTACTAATACTTCTAGTATTTAGGACAGTTAAAGTTGGCATTTTTATTAATCTTTTACTAACTCAGTGCTTATTTGACTTGTAAGACTATTCTGTTCCTTGGGTTTCATATATTTTTAAATAGAGTAATAACATAAAATTTAATTTTGATATTAGTCTGTTTAAGCATTAGTTATACATCTTTTAAAAATGTACAAAAATTAATTTAGAAAACATTTTGACTTCTAGGTCTTATTCCTGGGAAATAATATCTATGGTGTTCTGTGAAAATGTTACTTTGAAATCAAAAAGCAGAAGTGCTGTGATTTATTTATTTTTATTTCTTTGAGAGGGAGAGAGTACAAGGGGTGGGGCAGAGGGAAGGGCAGAGGAAGAGGGAGAAGCAGGCTTTCTGAGCAGAGAGCCTGGAATGGGGCTGTGTCCCGGGACCCTAATAAGATCATGACCTGAACTGAAGGCAGACGCTTAACTGACTGAGCGACTCAGGCACCCAGAAATGCTATAATTTGAAACAACTTTTCTACATCGGAATTTTAAAAAGTTATATATGGATCTTGAAATTTTTAAAAGGAAAATTTGCATAACTTTAACATCTTAATTTCAGAACGAGAAAAAGATCACATTTCCTCTCGTCCAAGCAGTCCTCGTCCTCAAAAGACATCTCCAAATGGTTCCAGTAGCAGTGCTGGGAACAGCAGCAGAAACAGTAGTCAGTCAAGTTCTGATGGTAGTTGTAAGACATCTGGAGAGATGGTGTTTGTATATGAAAATGCAAAAGAAGGAGCTCGGAATGTAAGAACGTCGGAACGAGTAACACTAAGAGTGGATAATACTAGATTCGTTGTAGACCCATCCATTTTTACTGCACAGCCAAATACAATGTTGGGCAGGTTTGTATAATTGCAGTTCTTTGCATTAAATATTAAAGCACTTGCACATTATTTAAGTTTTAGAGTAACTCTTTGTTGGATTGTAGTATTCCTGTTTTACAGGTGAACTGAACTTTGGAGGTTAAATATAACTTGCTCAAGTTAATACAGCCATAAAATGGTAGAGCCAGATCTTGAACTTGGTTTTATTTCTAACAATATTTGCTGTATCAGCAGGAAAAACAAATATATTAGTTAATGAAGATAGGGTCCTAAATGATCTCCACAGGTTGAAACCTTAAATTGTATCTAACAAGGTGAATATAGCAGTAATAATATGCTTTCTTCACTTGGGGGCTCCTAAATTCAACCACCGAATATAGCAGCATTGTTTAAAGAAAAAAGTTTGGTTAGCTGAAAAGTCAGCAGAGTTGTTAGTTTGACATAGATACTTTAAAAAAGGAATGTTCTTAACAAGTAGTTAATAGAATGAAGGAGAGATAGTTGTAGTCATATTCTAATTTCTGCTGGTCCAGAGTAAATGTTAATGTAAAGTTTATAGTCGTGGGAGCTGCAGTCTTAAGAATGATACAGGCAATATAGACTTGATTTTTCAGCGTGTTCAGAACTAGGATCAAATACCTTTTCAATGTAAAATTATCTTTTTTGGTTCACTCTTAATATAAAATAGAGCATAGAATGAAATAGAAGTTTATAGGATGTAAAAACAAAATTGTGATTTTTTTCCCCTACATTGCATATGAGTAACTTTTTTGGATGCCTGTGTGTACACTTGTGATTACTCAGTATTTCTACATACAGAATAAAAGCTTACATAAACAGCATAACATTTTGAATAAGTATTCCTTTGAACATTAGCTGTTAGACTTTACATCCGAGGCAAACAAGTAAGTATGGCTTTTATGTATTTTTAGTAGCACAGAGGAAGATTATTGATGGAAGGTGTCAGGAGGAGGACTTGACATTATGAATACTTCTAATTTTTATCTAAATTTTAAAGAAACACAGTTAAAAAGTTGATGTTTGAAATTTTGCTTCATTTGTTAGGCTATGTTTTCTTTAAAGGGAAAACAAAACAAAGCCCAAAAGATTTGTGTTTGTATATATCCATATTGATCTGAAAAGCCTAGCATTCTCCGTATTTTATCAAAAAATTTCAGGTATTTGAGAAAATTGCATGACATTTGGTTCCTGAAAGACTGTCATTCCCCCCCACCCTTTTTTTTTTAAATCAGTGAAATCATCTTTTCATGCCAGTTGAGTAAAGCATATCTTTGGGGATGAAAATTAATATTCATGGGAACTGTAAAAAGTAGTTGATATTCTTTTGGAAACTTTGAAATAAAAAAAAGCTTTGTTCTTTATAGATTTCTGTGTTACCAACAAAAGAAAAACCATTTTTTTTAGAAAAACCATTTAAATTGGGAAATTGTTGAGTAGAATACTTAGGAATGATGGTATCATTTAATTCTGAGATTCAGCTTGCTTTAACCACAATTTTCAAGTTGTCTTGAACGTAATTCATTAAACTTTTTTGATTTTGAAGAACCTATTCTGTAACTTGTCTCTTTTCAAAATGGTTACTATTAAAGGGCCAAGAACATTACTTAAAAAAATAGAAATCTTTCTTTCTTTTTTCTTTCTTTCTTTCTTTCTTTCTTTCTTTCTTTCTTTCTTTCTTTCTTCTTTCTTTTCTTTTCTTTTTTTAAGGATTTTATTAGAGAACATGCAGGGAGAGCATCAGATGGAGAGGGAGAAGCAGATTGATTCCCTGGTGAACAGGGAGCCTTATGTGATGCTCGATCCCAGGACCCTGGGATCATGACCTGAGTGAAAGACAGATGCTTAACTGACTAAGCCACCCAGGTGCCCCAAAATCTGTATTTTCTTATGTAAAAATTAATATTAAAGACTTTTTACTCATTTGTTTAAACTTTTGATTCATCTCTTAACTTCCTCATTCTCTTTACTTAAGCATTTGATTGCTTATTTTTCAGTTTTAGGATGCAGGTGTAAGAATTTTGAGTGCTGTTTCTTACACTTATAGTTTATTTTTAAAGATTTTTTTAAAAAATTTATTCATGAGAGACACACAGAGAGTCAGAGACACAGGCAGAGAGAGAAGTAGGCTCCCCACAGGGAGCCCAATGTGGGACTCCATCCCAGGACCCCAGGATCACTGAGCCACCCAGGCATCCCCACTTAATAGTTTAAATTGTGAAAAATGAAATAACCTAATCTGCCTATCTAAAAAGATACACACTCCTTTACTGTGTGTGCTGCACTATAGCATTAACTTTGCAGTGAAGGCAGCAGTTTTAAGGAAGAGGCACAGTTAACATGGCTTCCCTTTTCCTTTTTTTTTCTTATTAAGATTAGAATAAAAATCACCTTTTCCCCTGGATTGATTGATTCCCCATTCCCCCTCCCCTGAGAAGAAAGGGCTAAAGGGATGCCTGCCTGGGTGGCTCAGCAGTTGAGTGATTGCCTTCCACCCAGGGCGTGATCCTGGATCAAGTCCCACATCAGGCTCCCCGCATGGAGTCTGCTTCTCCCTCAGCCTGTGTCTACCTCTCTCTCTATGTGTCTTTCATGAATGAATGGGTAAAATTAAAAAAAAAAGACTAAAAACGTTCTTTAGCTTCTGAATTTTATTAGCTGATTTTGTTTGCTTGTAGGGAATCTATATTCCTGTTCCCTCCCATTAGAAAGGAAGTATCTTTAATATTCCTTCATTTATTACATTTGCTGAATAAATTGCTGATAAGAATATTTTAACTAATTTACTGATATATTGTAATTCCTTTTTACTTTTGTCCATGAGATAAGTTTTCACTTCAAAGGAAGTATCCTGTTATATTTCTGAATTGTTTACTAATATCATAGGATGTTTGGATCTGGCAGAGAACATAACTTTACGCATCCCAATGAGAAGGGAGAGTATGAAGTGGCAGAGGGAATTGGCTCCACCGTGTTTCGAGCTATTCTGGTGAGTGCTTATTTCTTACCTGCATTGACTTAATCTTAGAGCCCCTTTTCAGTAGGTAGTTGATTGAAAGCAGAATTCTGTTTGAATATCTCTATGCAGAATATTGTTTTCTAATTACCATTTTATTCATTTTTATTTTAGTACATACAGATACAAATATAGGTTGGGGGATGATTCATCTCTTAGGCATAAATAGGCAGTTCTTTCAAAGGATTTAGTGGTAATAGTTCTGGAGTCGTGTTACTCTTCCTTCCCTAGTTCTCTTAAATAAGTTGATTCTTTTTTGCTGAGAATAAATGTGGTTACTTCAACTCTAATATTTTATTGCACATAACTGGCAATGTGGACAGTTAACATTTAAAAGTCATCTCTGAAATGTATTTGTTAGCATCTTCTAAACCTTTTTTGAGGTTTTTAACCTTTTATTTTGAGGAATATTTGAATTAGTATTATCGAGTTCCTACTTGTAATTTCAAATCGGTGACAAAGATTTGATTTATAGTGTGTGACATTTTATGCCACTGTCTGAAAATATTGTTAAAATTATTCCTTAAATAATTTTGAGGAAAGCGGGTAGGGGGTAGGATCCTGAGGTACAAGATAGGAATAGAAGTTGATCTTGATTGGGTTGTTAGTACTTGGAAAGTTCTGAGATGTCTTGCTTCTATTGGCATAGCAAATTTATTGTGTTACTGTGGCTCTGAACATCAAGAAGCTTGAGGCAGATCTTATTTTGTGAGGAGAGGGAAGGAGTGGTTTTTCAGCTAGCCATACTTCATTTAATCAACCCAATGGAGTTGACAAGTAAAAAAAAAAATTGTGACCCAGCTGTAATTTTCAGGCTAGCCCTTAATAATTTTTCAAGTAGATTTTGGAAATAAGCACTATTAATTGTTCATAATATGGGATACACCAAAGAATACTAGTTGGAAGAAGAATATCTGATTGTGTGTTCTGTTTGCATATTTTAATGGTTGGATATGACTTTGAAGTTCTTTACCAAGAACCATAAATTTTCCTTAATTCTTGAGGTAATGTTTAAGGTACCTTAGTATGTATTACTTAACTTTCTTAAGAATGTTTTGTTTTTAAGATTTTGTTTATTTGACAGCACAGGGGAGCGGCAGGCAGAAGGAGAGGGAGAAGGGTGAAGCAGACTCCCAGCTGAGCAAGGAGCCCAGTATGGGACTCCATCCCAGGACCCTGGGATCATGACCTGAATCAAAGGCAAACACTTAACAACTGAGCCACCCAGGCACCCTGAAAAAAGTTTTAAAGTTTGATGGTAGTTATATAGAAAAATAACTTGTAGAAGGGAAAATACATATGAATTGGCATGATAGAAGAAATATATCAGTAATGAGAAGATCTGGGTTCTAATCTTCCTCTGCTATTAACTAATTATATGACTGGGTAAGTCAGTGAACCTATTTGAGCCAAAGTTTTCTTATTAGTAAAATGAAAAAGTGGTTAGGTGAACTGAGGTCTCATCTAACTTTAGAAGTCCACAGTTCAGAAATCTCAGAGCTCCACTGTTTTTGAAAATGCTACCAGCGTAACCTTAATAGTAAGGTTTTGGCCACCTTATGCTCTAGACTTACGCATTTTTTCCCTTTTTTTTATAGGATTACTACAAAACAGGAATAATCCATTGTCCTGATGGCATATCTATTCCTGAATTGAGAGAAGCATGCGACTACCTTTGTATTTCTTTTGAATATAGTACTATTAAATGTAGAGATCTCAGTAAGTATGACGTTTTGGGTATGAGTGCTTTGTAGAGTTACATTATATTGGAATGAAAAGCCTGAAAGACTGATATTTATGTAGACATCAAATATTTAATTGAATTATAAAGCATTGTGAGAATGGTTTGTGGAAGTCTACAGAGATCCTTTTTTTAAGATTTTGTTTACTCTTGAGAGACACACAGAGAGGCAGAGACATAGGCAGAGGGAGAAGCAGACTCCCTGCAGGGAGCCCGATGTGGGACTCCATCTGAGGACCCCGGGATCACCACCTGAGCTGAACATAGATGCTCAACTGCTGAGCCACCCAGGGGTCCCTCTACAGAGATTTTTATAAGTTCCATGTGCAATTTTCCAAAATTAAAAAAAATTGTTTATATATGTATGTATGTATTTTTTGATAGATTCTCCCAGATTTCCTCCTTGACCGCGTCTCTGTCATTTGTTGCATCTTTATCTTCCAGCTTGGGAGCCCTGGTTTTGGTCAAGAATGGTATTTGGTTTCACTTCTGAGATCACATCAACCAAAAATTTGTAATTTTCTTATACTTCTGATGTAAAGTGATATCCAAAGCCACTATGGAAGATACAAATAATTCTCAAAAACAGCATTTGTCATTAAAGATCTTAGATTGAACATCTAATCCTTATTTGTACAAAGGGTTAAGTGACTTTGTTTAAGAACCTCAAACAGCCTCAGAGCAGAGTCTAGAACTTTGGAAATCCTAACTTTTTGATCAATGTTTTCCCCTCACCAACCTGTTCCTCATCACCCATCCCTCTCACCATTTTGCCATGCCTGAGGAAAGAAAGATGATTATACACAGAAGTCAGAATAAGAGAATTTTCAAAAGTTAACTTGGATTTTAAGTAGTTGGAGAAGTTCAGGAGAGGTCATTGTAGGCTAGAGGGATTGGGGAAGAGTTCAGAGGAGGCAGGTAGTAAAGAATAAATAGTGATTTAGAAAGAGTAGAGTAATGAGGTGATTCTAACAGCTGAGATTTTTGGAATAAAGATGCAAAAAATATACTTTAGAAAGAACCTAGTTGGAGCAGAGACTGTCCTGAGCAGAGCAGGACATAAGGACATGAGAATAAAGAGGTGGGCCACATCATAGAAGTTTTTTAACCCAAACCCATGTTCTTATATTTTTTCCTATATGTGGTGAGAAGTCATTTTAAAAGCTTTCTACGCGTGGTAATAGCCTTTTGTTAATCATGGGCTTACAGTTACTTTACTTTATTAACCTCAACTCAACAGTAGCTTGGCATGCCTTCTCAGAGATTAGTTTGTTAGAAACTGTTAATGGGAAATTTTTAATTATTTTTTAAAACAATTTTATTTATTAGCACAAGCAAGGGAGCAGGAGAAGGAGAAGAAGCTCCTTAGTAGGGAACCTGATACAGGGCTCAACCCAGGACCTCATGACCATGACCTAAGCCAAAGGCAGATGCTTAACTATCTGAGCCATCCAGGTGCCTTACGAATGGGAAATTTTATTTAAAAATTTAAGGCACCTACTGTATACTTAAATAGAGCTGTTTTCTTCATGTTTATTTAAGAGCTAAAATGTGTAGTCTTGGGATCCCTGGGTGGCGCAGAGGTTTGGCGCCTGCCTTTGGCCCGGGGCGCGATCCTGGAGACCCGGGATCGAATCCCACGTCGGGCTCCCGGTGCATGGAGTCTGCTTCTCCCTCCGCATGTGTCTCTGCCTCTCTCTCTCTCTCTCTCTCTGTGACTATCATAAGTAAATAAAAATTTAAAAAAAAAGAAAAAAATGTGTAGTCTTATTAAGTCTTCCCTTAAGTACCACTTTATTGTTGCTAAACATTCCATAAAGTCTTCATAAAGATATCAATATAGGTGGGATAAAGTGGCTGCTCCACCTCTGAGTATCTATAAATGATATTTAAAAGTTTAAAGTCAAATAGAACATACATAAGTAAACTTGAACAAAGTTTGTTTTTTCACATCTTAAAAAATATCTTTATTAAACCATGAGCATTAATTATTCTGATTGTAGATCCTTGAGTTCAAGTTTTGTGGGTTTTTTTTTAATTCTTGGGGACCATTTTAGTTTCATTTCATATAATTAGATATTCTATTTTGGGGACTATCAGGTAAAAAAATGATGTGGATTTGGTTTTGTAATCCTTTGGACATAGACCTTGTCATTATTAGTAAGTCTCATTTACTTGTTATGGAACTAAAGGTGAGAGTCTTTATGTAAAGTATGTATAATGTTTTTCTAGACTTTTGGCTTTTAAATAATTACTTGTAAATGTTTCTAGAATACTTGTAATACATATTTTTAAAAATACAGAGATTCTCATAGACTTTATTAAAAACAAAACTACATAGAATTTGAGAAGACAAAATGGCCTTGTAAAAACATTAAAGGAGGGATGCTTGGGTGGCCCAGCGGTTGAGCGTCTGTCTGCCTTTGGCTCAGGGTGTGATCCCGGAGTCTGGGGATTGAGTCCCACATCAGGCTCTCCACAGGGAGCCTGCTTCTCCCTCTGCCTCAGTCTCTGCCTCTCTCTGTGTCTCTCATGGATAAATAAATAAAATCTTTAAAACAAAAAAATTAAAAGGATACTGTGGGTGTAGACCTGGATCCAAAACTGAATTGTTTACCTGCTAATACGTGCCTTTACTGAGTATTGGAATGGCACATTACACAAGATGTCTGTGTCTATACCTTAACCTGAAATCATACAAGTACTGAATGTTTACTGGATAGAGTCATGGGTTTGTTTCTTGGGCATGTTACTTAAAACCTTGTTTTAATTCCCTCATCTTTTTTTTTAAAGACTTAGTACGTTTATTTTTTTAAAAAGATTTATTTATTTATTCATTCAGAGAGAGCGAGAGAGAGGCAGAGACACAGAAGGAGAAGCAGGCTCCATGCAGGAAGCCCGATGTGGGACTTGATCCCCGGTCTCCAGGATCACACCCCGGGCTGCAGGTGGTGCTAAACCGCTGCGCCACCAGGGCTACCCTAATTCCCTCATCTTTAAAATGGAGACAATAATACTTATTTCACAGGGTTGTTGTGGAGATTAAACGAATAGTGCTTGACACATAGTATTAAATAAGAGTTTGTTTTTTTTTAAAAGAGCAATATTAGGAAATGTAAATTTTAAAAATATTCAAATATCATATTATACATGCTATTTTGTAATATTTCAAAGTGAATAGCTGTATTACTAAATACCCTTTAGTAACAACTTGTTTAATGGTTTCCAAGCTATTGAGAAAGGGTGATCAGAGGCAGATCCTGCCTGTGAAGTCACTGAAATGTAGAGACACTGAAATAACAGGAGTCACTTGTGTGTTCTCTCTCTCACTCTCTCTTGCTCTATTTTTTAGTTTGTAGCATCAAACCAGTTTGAAGTGGAGGATAGGAACTATCTATACCTTTTCAACTTTGTGTTTTTTGTTTTTTTTTAGATTTTTATTTTATTTATTCATGAGAGACAGAGAGAGACAGAGAGAGAGGCAGAGACACAGGGAGAGGGAGTAGCAGGCTCCATGCAGGGAGCCCGACGTGGGACTTGATCCCGGGTCTCCAGGATCATACCCTGGACTGAAGGTGGTGCTAAACCGCTGAGCCACCCAGGCTGCCCTCAACTTTGTGTTTTAAATAACACTTTACATATATATTTTTGCCTTAGTAAGTTGGCTAGAATATTTGAACAATGTTTAAAAATTTATTGGTAATTCTGGGATCCTTGTCTTTAAAGGCATTTTCTTTAGGTGTCACTGTGAAGTCACTTCTTTCTTCTTGATTCTTCTTTTGGCTTTTTGACATTCTTCTTTTAGGCTTTATCTTTCTCTCACTTGCTCCCTGATCCTTGATTTCTTGAATGTCCTAAGTATTCTGTCTTAAGCTACCCACTCTCTCTCACAGAATCTATACATTTACTCTAAGTGATGGCATTCATCATTGTGGCTTCAGACACTACCTATACACTGTGGATTTCAATTATTTTATCTCTAATTCTTAATATCAGCTATGTGTTTCTAGTTTCCTATTTAACTTATAATTCCCCTCTCTTATTCAGACTTTTTGTTAGTTCCATGCATATAGTAAATATAGTAATGAATTAGACCTTATCCCTGCCTTTATGGTGTCTGCAGTCTAGTGGGGAAGATAGGCATTCGACAAGTAATGAAAAATGCAGTGAAGAAAGGAGATGCTATTAGAAGTGTATGGTAAAGGGGCTGTGGAAAATCATTATCCAAGTGACATTAAAGCTGAGACCTAGAGCAATAGCAAGGGGGATAAGACACTGACCTTACCAGGCAGCAGCAAAGGTATTTGCTGAGGCTGTCAGGTTGGAATATGACATGCTTAAGGAACTGAAAGAAGGGAAGTATGGCTAGAGTGGAGGGAGGAGTGTGAATGATGAGAAATAAGGCCAGAGAAGTAGGGAGAAAACAAAATTTATTAACTGAATAAATATCTGATGACTTAATTCTCTACCAGTCTGCTCCAGTTCTGGGGATACACATGAACAAACCAGGCAAAACTTAGTGTTCTAATGGAACTTACACTCTTTTGGGGAAGATGGACAAACCAGGTTAACAAATAACATATGGTATGTCAGTAATCAGTGCTGAAGAGTGGGGGGACATAAGGAAAGGACATAGAGTAGCCAGAGAAGCCTTAACTGGAGAGGAAAATTTAATTTCAAGCAGAGGTTAACAATGAGTATAAGGTTTGGGGTAGCTTGCCTGGCATGTCTGAGAGCAGCAAAGAGTTGGAGTGAAGTAAATTTGAGTGTCCTCAGTAGGAGATGAGGGTAGAAAGGGATCTAAGTCATGTAAGACCTTTATCTTGGCTTTCACTCTAAATGACATGGGAAGCCATTGGAGGGTTTTGAACAGAGGAGTGATGTGATCTGTGAGATTGCCAGGTTGAATTCTGTTCACACAGAATTCAGTATGGAGTTGTGCAGTGCTGTAGTCCTGATCTGACTATGTTTTAAAAGAATTACTCTGGGGCACCTGGGGCCTCAGGTTGAGTGTCTGCCTTCAGCTCAGGTCATGATCCTGGGGTCCAGGGATCAAGTCCCACATCAGGCTCCCTGCATGGCATCTGCTTCTCCCTCTGTTTGTGTCTCTGCATCTCTCTCTGTGTATCTCTCATGAGTAAATGAATGAAATCTTAAAACTAAGAAAAATAAAAGAATTACTCTTGGCTATTGTATTAGAACTGGATTGCAGTGAGGGGATTAAGCTAAAAGCAAAGAGATAATTAGGAAGCTATTGCCATAATTCAAGTGAGATAGAGTGGTAGCTTAAATCAGAGGAGAAGCACTGGGAGGTGATCAAATTCTGGATATATTGATAGTAGAGTTGTCAGGATTTGCTTGTTGATTGAATTATGGGATGGGGAAAGAGAAGAGGACTTAATTAAATGGAAATGTGAACTTTCCATTAAGTGAGATGGGGGAGACTTGACGGGGAGCAGAAATTTAGAAGCTTGATTTGGGACATGTTAAGTTTGAAATACTTACTAGAAATCCAAGTGGAAATGGTTAGTGTGGCATTGGGTATACAAGTTTAAAGTTCAGGAGAGAAATATGGGCCAGAGTAAATTTATATGCAGGATATACACCCCCCCACATACATATATACATATATAGGATTTATGTAGGATATGTATTTATGTGTAGTATTTAAAGAAAATATTTTTAGGGGACTCTACACATTGATCTATAATCTCCCTTTTCATGTAACAAGTCTTTATGGACCAAGTTGAGGATTTGGATAGTATAAGCCTTGAGAGAGTTAAACTAGTGGAGTTGTATGATTTGGCTGCTGTGGGGAAGATGAATTACACAGGGGCAAAAGTAAATGCTGGGGGAATGTAATTAGGTTTTATAGTAGTTTGGGTGAGAATTAAGGATGACTTGGACTTGGGGGCTTTGGGGATGGAATGTGTTCTAGTTAAGTATTGCTGTGTAATAAAGCATTCCAAACTTAGCATGAAGTATTTTTATTCTGTGGGTCAAGAATTCAGACAAGGTATAGCAGAGGTGGCTTGTGTCTGCTTCAAATATCTGAGATCTCATGAATAATTGAAGAGTTGAGATGATGCAGAAAGCTGTAGGATTCTTTACTCATATGTCTTCTGCTTTCACTGGGATGATTTAAGGGCTGAGTTCAGCTAGGACTGTCAAACAGAGAACCTACATGTGGCCTCTGTGTGCATCTTGGGCTTCTCTAAGTCTGGAGACTGAGTTCAGCAGGTAAGCACTTGGAGAGAGAATGTTACCCAGGACCAAGGCAAAACATGCATTCTCACCTCTGCCATGCTGCCCTGGTTACAAGCATGTCAGTATGACCATCTTAGGTTAAAGGAAGAGGAATTAGACTCCATCTCCAGGGAGGAGATGTCAAGGTCCCATTGTAGAAAAGCATATGGTATAAGAGATTTTGCAGTTATCTTTGGATAGCATCTCCCAGAGAAGAAAATGACACAATTCAAGATGCATTTAAGAGGTGGACTTGATAGGGCTGGGGGAATGATTGAATTAAAAGATGAAAGAGGAATCGAGGATTCACTTTTATTTATTCTACAAATATTTAAGTTCCTACTATATGCCTTGTACTTTTCTAAGATGATTCTGAGAAATGAATGATGATGATGATGCCATTTACTGATTTGGGATACACTGCAGGGAAAGGCACATATGATTAAATCAACTTTTAGTATATTGAGTTTGAAGGTGCCTGTGATGTAGCATCCCAATGGAGACTTCCAGAAGGCAGTTGAATATAAGGCATCTAGAATATAGAAGACAAGAATTAGAATAAATTTGGGAATTATCAGCATAAGGTAAGAGAAGGAAAAATTGTCTTGAGAAACATGAATATTTAATGAACAGCTAGAGGAGAAAAATTTGGCAAAGATGATTGAAGAAGAACATCCAGAGGAGAAAGAAAACTAGGGATAGTGGCATCAGAGATTCTTAAGGAAGAGAGGGTTTTAAGAAGAAGGTGGTGGTCCCTGTGAGAGATTCAGCCAGGAGGTCAGATAAGAACAGGATCAAAACATACTCATTATTTTTAACAATCTGATAAAGGAGGCTATATTGAGAGAAGTTTTGAGGAATACTGAGTATGGAAGCCAGATTGGAATTGGTTCAAAAGTTAAAGGAAAAAGACTATGTTGATATATCTAGGAGTTCGGCAATAAATGAAATTAAAAAGAAATCAATGGGAATTAGGAACGCCTGGGTGGCTCAGTGGTTGAACAGTCTGCCTTCAGCTCAGGGCATGATCCTGGGGTCCCGGGATCAAGTCCCACATCGGGCTCCCTGCAGGGGGCCTGCTTCTCCCTCTGCTTGTGTCTCTACCTATCTCTCTGTGTGTGTCACGTGAATAAATAAAATCTTTTTAAAAAACTGGAATTAGCCAGCCTAGAGAGAGGCATGGTGAAATTATAACATATATTAATTACTTAATCACTTATATCACTATATATTATTAATAATTATTATATAATTGTGATGTTTTAGGGGGAAAAGACTCTCCCTTGGGAGACTATAGCTTAGATTGAGTTCTAGTTTCTGCTCTAACTCTCCTCGTAGTTCCTGAACTAGTAGTGCTTTAGGAGATAGGACATTGCCATTGTCATAGGAAAAAAAATTAGATCAGTGCAAGTGATTTTTGTGGCTCTCTTTTTGGGCAATTGAAGTTATTCACTATGTTTATACTTAAGGAGGGTGATGTGAAATTATCTTTTACCCCTCTGAATTCTAGGGTCAGGTCTGCTACATAAGTCCTGTACCATCCTATATTTTGCTTGGCCTTTTGCCTGCCTTATCCCAAAGCCAATTCACTTCTTTTTTCTACACTGAAATATTAATGTTGTTTGTGAATAATTTTTTGAGAAAGAAAACATAGGAGAAGGAATTATGAGAGCTATTTTAGTTCAGTGGACAATCTGAAAACATCCTTAAGATATACTTTTAAGATATAATTGCATATATTGATGGAAGACAACATGAAATAATAAAAACACTACCCTGGGCTAAATTGGGGGTGGGGACTCAATTCTGATTTTGCAAATTAATTTTGTAACCTTAGGTAGGTCACTTCCTAAAGTATAAAATGAAGGAGCTTATGTTAGATGCTTTTAATTTGCCCTTCTTTCTATAAGATTCGTTTCTGTAAAATCTCTTCCTAGGAAAAGTTTTGTTGACTATAGAATAACCACTGTATTTTGTCTGTAGGGCTGCAGAGTAGATGGTGAACTAATTTTAATATTTTGTGTGTGTGTTGCTTCTGCTCTTTTACTCATCAGTCATCAGAAAAATCAAGATATTTTTTGTTGGATTCATTTCAGGTGCCCTAATGCATGAGTTATCAAATGATGGTGCTCGTAGACAGTTTGAATTTTATCTGGAAGAAATGATCCTGCCTCTCATGGTAGCTAGTGCCCAGAGTGGGGAACGAGAATGCCACATAGTAGTGCTTACAGATGATGATGTGGTTGATTGGGATGAAGAGTATCCCCCACAGATTGGAGAAGAGTATTCACAAAGTAAGTACTGTGGCATGTTTTCTCTCTTAAATCATCACAGATTCTTTATCTAATACCGATCAAAGGACAGTTTTTATAAAGTACATTGAACTCTTACCTACGCCAGGAGTCAGTAAACTACGAGCTGTGGATCAAAATCCAGCCTATTGCCTGTTTTTATAAATAAACTTTTATGTATTGTCTATGGCTGCTTTTGCGCTACAATGGCAGAGTTGAGTAGTTGCAACGGAGACCGCATGGCTCGCAAAGCCCAAAAAGTATTTACTCTGGCCCTTTACATAAAAAATATGCCCACCCCTGTCATGCACAGAAATGGTTTGCTCTTTGTTGAGTATCTGGATCTTGATA